CGTATTGAACAATGGTTGTTGTGTGTATTCACATTAGATATTCGATATGAAGATAATAAAAATAGATAAAAATAATTATTATTATCAGTATGATAATGATAACAATAACGATAACAGTAAAGATAATGACAAAAAATATAATAGTCATCGATGAGGATAATAATTATAATTGACCTTAATAGATAGTCATATGCGCAGGTTACCGATTGCATGCAGAGAAATGGCATTTGAAAGAGCACCACCAATTCGTAATCCATAATCTTCAGCATCATCCCACACTAAACTTAAGCAATAATTTCCAGTATTATTCCACACTAATTTGCAGTTGTTGGTCTGACCATTGAGGTATATTTATACCGCCATAGTCTGACAAAAGACATAGCCCATAATAGTAAAAATTTAGACCTGTAGTTCCAACCTCCAAATTGCAGTGAATTGTTATTTGACAGGGCGTCACCTACCATAGCAACTCAGTTATAACACAGATTGGTATAGATTTAATCCCTGAACATTAGAGCACTTTTTTATTTATTAAACTGTACCAATAAGTACTTTTAACTAAAAATAGCCCGAAAAACTAAAAAAAATAAATAAATTTAACAATACAGGAGCACCAAATATCACCGCACTATTTTTATTCCGTAGAATTTTAGTAAAGGTGCTCAAATGATGATGGCATGTATACCTACAGTACTGAACTATTTACCTAATCTTGAAGATAATATTTTTATTAAAATTGTATGTAAAATAAAAGAAATAGACACATAGGGCCTATGAGGAGCAACTGAAAAGTATGTAGACATTATAGTCAGACGGCTGAAAAGAAGGTTGTAGTCTAAACAATAGGTTTAGCTGTAACTAAAATGTTACACGGCATTACCATACCATGTAACAGCGAAAGTTTTCAGGTGCACTCTCTCCCCCCCCCCCTCTCTCTCTCTCTCTCTCTCTCTCTCTCCCTCTCTCTCTCTCTCAAGCTGCACTCTCACATCGGATTCGAACCGAAATTCGGACCGCGTTTCCGACGAGCTGAACGCCAGCCAGCGTCGCTTCGGTAGTCTTTCCGATCCGAAAATCAGATTCAGTGTGAATGCACCTTAAGTGATTGAGAACAAAATATCACTAATTATGATGGTATATTATTTATAAAAGTACAGCCCACGTTATCATTGTACATCATGGCAAAGATTATGGTAACATGGCTACTGTTCATTAAACTTGGTCTGAATGTTAATGAAGACCCCAATTATAGTTATTTACTACAAAGACATGTTATACCGCAATGGATATGCTGTTTTTCTCTGTTACTCAGTACTTCCAATCAGACGTTGATGGTGCGGAATTTAGGACAACTGACCATCAACATCGACGAGTTCGTGGTCATAAAATGACACTGTTCCATATATTTATTTACATATTCTCTCCACAAATTCTGCAATGTCATTAGTGCACTCACAAGTTCTACTTCAGCTAAATTTGCAATTTGATCAGCTGGATTAAGAGAATCCAGATTACATACGACTGTGTTGTGGCGATACCTTCCTTGAAAATGCTCGTTATCTAAATTCCAGATGTCGGCAGCCATTAGTAAAATCGTCTTCCACCAAAAAAAAATAACATCATAATTAACATTCTTTTTTGTGCATGTCATGGTTGTAGAAGGAAAGCATCTAAACAGCCCGATTCTTGAGCCCATTGGAAGATGACAGACACAAATGGCAACAGAAACTCAGAGATACAAATAAATATTAAAGCCCGACATCCTTCTGAAAGGAATTTACGGCAACTGAAAGAAAAGTTGAGGCAGTTCTAAGCCATGAAACATCATCTATTGCGGCTTGTGTGCCACGGACATTGTTTTTAATGGAGAAAATGCAGAAGTTGGTGGCGATAAGAAACCAAAATAAATGAATTTTGTATTTCTTTTATCTATAATCATGGTAAGTTTTAAGGTGCAATTCGTATTTATAATCAATCAGGGCCAATCGTTAGTTTTAATTGTACATAGTTGACGAGAGAGATTTACTTCAGGTAAGTGGATTGTGATTTTATCTGGATTGGTTTAATTTTGTTGTTCACCAAAGTTATTACTGCAATAATACCGAATAGGACATTAGCAGAACATTCCATAAATCCACATATTCTGGGAAGAATGAAGTTCTAAATGGTTTCGATGTACTCCGGTGCATGAAGTTGCCTGTTATGGGTTTGCCGCACCCTTATGCATTTAGGCTAAATTAATTTGCTGTGGTTCAATAATTTTATGGAAAGAGCCTACTAATTGCATCCGATTTTGGCGTCTGGTTTCAACACTATCCCAAAAAAGTTGTTGAAACATGACTGTGGCACCAGTCTTTGGTTACCATAATAATATTATTTAATATTTACATTATTATGTTCATACCATTCTGGTTGTGAGATACACAGAAATAGTGTTTTAGGTCGGGTCAATGACCTTTAACCTCTAAAAACAAGTTCTTTTCTGGTTTCTGAGTAATACTTTGGATAGGACAGTGTATTTTTCATCATTAAATACAATACATGGTCCAACAGATAAGTTTAGGTGCCGTGTAAAAGCACTAAAAACACTTTTACACTTAAATTTATACTGTAATGTTAAAGGTCAAGATTCTGTTAAAATGTTCTAGTGATATTTTTTTTATATATTTTTAAAATTGATATAATTTTTGCATTTCAACACCTAAATCAATCATCATATTTTGTCGCTGAGACACAATAAACTATTAAGCCTTAGTCTGAAAAGATAATTCCACCTTTTTGGTGCTGAGCGGTTGGATGAGGGGTATTGTTCCTGCTTTTTGTGCTAAAGACTTCGGTTCAAACTAGGCAAGTGTCTGGTTTTAATTGGAGTCTAGTGTGGCTCCTCGAATAACCCTCATATTGAAAGTTTAGGGGAGGACCCAGCGGGGGGCCATGAGCACCCGTGCCCCTCCCCCCCCCATCAGAAAATCTCTGGATCCGCCCGTGGAGTTAGGCGGGTTAACGACAATGTTTGTATCCGTATGTGTCTGTTTATGTTGAAGTTAAGTCGGGTGGCGCTGCACTGCAACTGTGTCGCGGATCCGCAGGGGCCCAACACAAAATTCTCATTTCCAATTAGAGTGAGAACCATTAAACAATTACTTAATTTAATTTAAATTAATTTTAATATTGATATCCATATCTACAAAATTCAGCTTTTTTATAATTTGTTCGCAGATTATATATTTTGAGATACTAATCCACAACGATAACAATAAACAAAAATGATATTGTATAAGTAAGTTAATTATATTAGTAATAATAGTAATAATAATAAACGTAACGCTGATAATAATAATTTGCTTTGCAAATCGAGTATTAATAATCTTCAAATCGCTTTGAATTCACTTAAAATTTATTGCACCAGATCTACAGAGAATATTCCGCTATTATTGGCCTATTTGCCAAAATATGTTATTTAACTTTATTAATTGCAGAATCATAACAATCGCGAATAAACTGTATTTAAAACTGTAAGATTCTCATTCCATACACTTTGACCATTAGAAACGCTGTTTGAACTCATTAAAATTTTCTAGTATGAGTTTGGTGTACATGTGTTGAGCCATTAGAAATGATTGTAATATAAACCATCAATTTGATATTTTTCATCATCATTTGCAGTATACGTAACCAGCACTACAGTGTACTAAATCCCATAGTGGCGCCATCAATCTATCGGATCTAAATTCAATCATTTATAAACTCAATAAAAAAAATGAGGAATTGAAAATTGAGTTGTAACTAACTAGAAATTATGAGGTGTTTATGATTTAGCTGGATTGAAATGCATATATGTTTTTGATAGTATTTACGACCTGACGGGTGGCATGTTTGTATTGACGTCATTTGAAAAAAAAATATGTTTTTAAAATGCTTTGTTATTTACATAAAAACTATTCAGTTGCATAATAATGGTATTATAATGTAATTTACGCCTAAGTGTATTTTCATAACGTTAAAATATCATTTTTGAACTGGTACATTATCGAAAAATAGTCTCTTATACGTCCGTCATCTAAGTTCTTCATTCGTAGTTTGTCAAAATTTTGCCCTAAATGTGATTGTTCAATACCAAAATACTTATCGATATTTAACAGAATATAGAAGCAGTCATTATTTAATTAATTAATTTTATTTCACCATCATCTAATACGGCAGCTAGTTTACTCTCAAAGGCAGATTGAACAAACTACTGAACCTTATTCTCGATCTGTAATTTTGTTGTGTTCATAAATGATAGCATTAAATTATTTTTATCTATAGCATGGATAAAGCACAAACATTTTTAAATGGGAAGCCAAACCATCACATCTTAATGCAACTTTATTACTATTTTTATTCTTGTTAAATTTCATGATAGAGAACTCAGTAAGAAAATCTTGAAATTCCCTTGTGAAGCCTGTTGTGTCGACTTCTAAAACGATGTATCGTCTTAAAAATAGTGACTGTACCTTCGGTGCCACACTGCAATTATAACGTTGGGTAAGGTTAAACTTTTGAGCCACGAGGTTCGTAAAAATCATAGAAAGCTCACATATCATCATTCTAGGCTATACATGTTTAAAATTGTAATATGGTGGTGTTATAGCTTAAAATGAATCTCATTCAGAACGTGTCGCACCTCAGTTACATACGTGTAAGTTGATTATTTGATTAATAGGCTCACACAGACACAATATGATTAATATAACTCAATGGGCTTAAGTCTGCGAGTCGCAGGACCTCCTAGATATCAGCAATGTATTCTGCACTCTTCGCAAGCAGGCAAAAATCGCTCGAACTACCCAATTTCCCACAAACTTACTCTTACTACAGTATTAAGCTGTCCCTGAAATTAGCTGGCCATGAGTATTATTAGTCAAAGTAAAATGCAATGAGATGACCATCTAAAATGACATGTTCTTGTTACTTTCAAAATGTCATAAAACAATAAAGAATTATATAATAAACAAATGTGTGGCTTTCCTTTTATTTTTAGACAATGCGTTTTTTCTGAAAACGAGTTTTAAATCACCTATTTTTATGGATTCTGTAGTCCTAAGCCCCGCCTTCTGAATTTGACCCACATTTGACCTTTACCGGATATGACATACACTCTGTACAACATAACACTCGATGTTCGCGGCATTGGCTACACAAACATACAGTGATCGATAGTATTCAGCACAAAACAAAGTTCTATAGAAAGTTTTCCCGGTTAATTTGAAGTGTCAGTATGCCCCGTTGTGTGGCTGCTGGTTGTGATAGCAACCATTCACACAACGTTAGTTTCCACCAGTTTCCAAAGGATGAAATTTTAAGGAAGAAGTGGAATGAAGCAGTCTCGAGAACCAGGCTTCACTTCCAAGGATCTGCTCATTCTGTTTTATGCAGTAAGCATTTTGCACCGGACGATACGAACCGAGAAGTGTATTAGCTCAAAGTATTGGGCTGTCTGGTCGTAATACCATGAGACTGAAAAAAGGAGCAATTCCTAGTATATTTACGAAGCCAAGTCGCCCAGGACAGCTTATTTTAAATCAGGTTTGACTTGTGGCTTCCCAAAGCTGGGGACCCCTTATACATGCGCTTTAATGCACGTGACAAGCAAAATATGACGATATTTATTAATCAATTCTTCACAAACAAGATGCAATTATTTCATTTTATTTATCATTATTTGAATGCAAGGCCTATGAACTTTTAGTTCATGATATCTTTGGTCTACATTGATAGATAAAAATCGATCGACCGGGTGTATTCGGTCTCCATTTATTTACCATCGATCATAAGTCAAGATCATTGGTCACAAATTTCATTTCAGTGACAATTACCAGGTATTTTCTAAGAACACCCAAATAAACCTGGAAATGGTAATCCTATGATATACCGCACTATACTTCTAAACCAGCCAGAAATATATTCTAACAATGTTGATTTAGTAAGGAATCGATAAACTAAGGAGCTACCTGCCATGGATAAGTGTATTAGGTATATCGATTTTAAATGAATTCAATCTCATTGAATCCATTTTAAACAAGGCTCTGGCTAAACAAACAAACATGTTCTTCAAAACGATTTTGTGGTGTGACAATAATTTATCGTCTTGTTGCAAATTCATTACTATAATGTATTAATTGTTGAACTTAAAGCTACGTATACATTTTTGCTGGGTATCATAAATCATATATTATCATGAAACGATGTCACCCCATGATCAATCCTTTAAGCGACTTATCATGTTGCTAAACTTTTTTACATCGTTTTATTTTGACCAAAGAGCATATTACTCCATGTTTTAATTCTCATTTTCTGATAGATAGGATTGACGAATGATATTAAACCACGTCATAAAAAAATATTTGGAATAATATCGTAGTAAAAAAAATGTGCTGTAATCATCCCGTAACAAATATCGTATATACTGAAATTTTTCCAAATGAAACAAAAGCATTCATTGACAATAGATAAATCAATATACACCACTCTCACGCAACAATCTAAAAACTAGCGGCTCCTTAGCAACTTGGGAAAACTACACAAATCTTCTATAATTGTTAGCAAAATAAACTAAGACTTGTAAAATTTAATCATTTATGTATGTATTTACATTGAATAAGCTAAAATGACGGAATGATTGAATTTTTTTCAAATGGAAACTGACTGTCGTATCAGGTTAAAAGATCACTAAAAAGCTTTCCTGTATTTTTAAGTATTGTGCAAATATAGGTTACTATAGGCATTTCAAGGGTAGTTATCAGAAATTGGGACATTAACGGGTGACACTGATCGTTTCCAGCCTGCATTACACGAGCGACCTGAACATTTGTTATTCCGTTGCCGCCATGAAGCATGTCCCCTCTTCCAACCAGCACTACATGCCATTCCTTTGCATCCTTTTCCTTTCCATGCACGTTTCTCTTCCTCCCCATTGACCTCCGATGACCTTTTCCAACCAGCTAGACATTGCCTCCCTTTGCAACCACTAGACATCTCCCTTCCACCAGTCTGCCTCCAACCTCTAATTTGACGAGCTTCTTCTAAGCCTTGTAGCAATAGTTCCATGGAGTTCAACCTATCAGTTAACGGTATGAACTCTCTTCCATCCAACGGCTGAATTTCATTATTTTCGTCTGCCAGTAGTCCATAAGTGTCTTCCGAACGAGAGACTGAAATAACTAGCCCAAATAATATAAGAATCATTGGTATAAAACTCGCAGTAGGCAGATCCACCATTTTGATCAATTTGTATGGAATCTGAAAACATAAACGAGAGAACGAAATGATAATAATATAGAATTATAATTCGAATGGATTATATTTCAAACATTTCTGTTTTAGGACTCAAGTCCCAAAATGTTAAAATCACCACAATATCGCAAGGGAGTCAGATTGATAAATACATATTTAGGCAAAATTCACCAATACAATAATTACCGTAGTATTTTTAAAATCTAAAAGTTGGGCAATTAATAACTTTATTAAATTTGTTGTTTAAGGCTGAAAAATTGATAAATAGGCCTTTCTACAACATGACACACAAATTGTCAATCCCTATAATTCCATACACATTTTTTTTTTGTCTTCTTTTTTTTTTATTCAGAATGAAACAGGTAACAAAAGAAGAGCATCAGTGTCATGTGATTTGTTAAAAACTGAAATTTATCTGAAATTTAAAGCTTTATTTAAGTTGTTTTTTAGTTGTTATGTTAGACGAGAATACACACAATTTGAGGCTTAAATTATGTAGTTAATAAAATGTCACTAATTGATGCCCTGCATCAACGGCTGATGTTCCTGGCGGAAGAAACCTCCTAATGACGCAGGCAATATTAGGTAGAAAGTCTCCGCGGCGATCTATATTTGACACTTTTAAGTAACCATGTAAATAACAAGCGACTCATTCCGTGTACACATTTCAGGTAAACATGTCGGAAGTCGGCTTTTTATATTTCTGTTCGCGGCATGATGGCATGATACAGTAATAGTAATCAAGCACTATAGGTGAAGTGATGAGATTTTGAGCGGTGGACTTTAGCGCGGTTATTCTTTGAAGACCTTCGCGTCAACTCGTTTTAACTGGATGGAGATAAATCGCCTAACGCATCTAGGATGCTTTCCGAACAACACACAGTCGAAATGAACTGATTCAATTATCTAGTAATCTACGCCATGTAAAATTTGATATTGAATAAACACCTTCACCGAATTGGTTCCTATTCTTATCAAATCGTTGACAGTAGCAATTACAGATCCAAAGCTTAGTTAGGTTTTGAAACGTTCATACTGTACAACCACTTTGTTTTTATTATGTATATGTATACGCAATATTCTAAGGGGAAATATTTGTTTAAGTATGCAATAGTTTTATTCTGAGAGGTTGTATAAAAATAAAAAGTTACGCTATAGTTTTATTCTGAGGGGAAGTATAAAATAAGAACGTTAGAGCCCCATACTGGAGGTATGACGTGGAGGGCACTTACGTCATGACTATAACTTCTGACGTTAATTAATGAAATAATAGATATGGTGATTTTCAGCCTGAATAAATCGTTCCAACTTAATCCCTCATTAAATCTACGTTGGTCGCCTGATGCTGGGGACACTTATGTCGTTGTTTCTGGTTTTTCATCTCATAATTATATTTATACATCTATCATCTAATAGGTTAAATGCGATGCAACATTTATTAGGTTAAATATAGACGCCAATCCCGAGTCTCAGTGGCATATATAATGCACATCTGGTCCAAATTATAATATATAATTTATAATGTTTATAATATATAAAGTTACTCTTGCAAAGAAAATGAGGACAGGTTCAATTTAAACAGCAATGTTTTGATTGCTCCACTTTCTTTCCATTTATTAAGTAAATAGAGCTAATCCTAGACAAATATTCAAGAACAAAGTTGATGTGTTTCGGATCACAATATAATTCTTTGTAACGAACATTTCGTTCATATTAGACTTTATATTGTTAAAGCTCTTCACCATCATATTTGTACATATATAAAGGTATGCGTTATAAAGTTAAAATATCTGCATATGCAAACTGCAATATATATAAACTTTCAAATGCTCATTTGAGTACTTAAGTTATAAACGCTCTATAAGTACATGATAACTTATTATTTATTGAAAAGCAGTTTTCAATAATTTACAACAGTTTTAATACGAAAATCCTTAAATTTACTCGCAAAACGTTATGTGTATATATACAGAATATATGAATGGTACTTCCATTAATTGGTGGCAAAAAGGTTTTCTCGTTCTAAAGTTGTAAAGCTAATAACACATTTAAAGTAGATCATGTTTTATAATTGACCAGTTTATATTGAATTTAGGTGGCATAGTATATTTTTCACCATTTATTTATAATGAAATTTCTATTAAATGTGCAAATACTCCTACAATTAAATTTCTTCCAGCAGTGGATTTAGTAATAAAATATCAATATCATTTAATGTTTTTGCAGGTTCTTTAGTTTTTGTGGTTCTTTGGTGAAAGTATATTTTTATGGTGTCCCATCTGAAGCAAACACGCCGATTAGAGCGATATTATTTTTTTCGCTCACTACACAAATCCTTACCTTCATAATTTTAATTTTGTGTTAACATTACAGGAACCACAAAGTGGTTTAGGCTTTCTCTCTCTCTTGAATAATTAATGAATACTAATGATATGTACACATTTGTATAGGCGTGTTTGGCTATACAAAAATACATATGCTCCATTTTAATATGAACAACTGCTGTGATCATAACAATTCAATTCATATTTTTATAATAGTATTACTGCCAAATAACTATCATTTACTACAAATCTTGTTTGTAGACTATTTGGCTCTCCGTTTAATATGCGGCCTACGTCAGACGTTGTTTTCCATGCATTTTTGTATTCCTTTTGATTTATGCTCTAATAATTACATTACTTTAGGTTTAGATGATCTCTGTTTCAGTAGGAAGAGAGATTTTATTATATATCATTTCGAAATCACATTCAGAACAATGGACCAAGCTTCATTGATTGTTTTAGAGTCATTTTGTAATAAATCTACGAATGAATGTGTTATAATGTAGTACGGTATGAAGTATACAATGATTGTGATGATGACAATGATTATGGTGATGATGATTATGATGATGATGATGGTAATGATTAGAATGACGATGTTGATTATAATGATGACAGTGGATGGTAATGATGGTGATGATGATTTGATTTAACGTTAACCTATATGAAATACATTTACCAACTTGTAGTTACGGGAAAAATGTTAAAACAAAAGAACACTTAAAATACTACTGCATACTGCAATAATTAATAAAAATTGGCACTTTTGTATATAAGAATATTCGTGACGTGATCGTAGAAACAGGAAGCCAGCATCCCAACAACTAATGCAAGCTATAGTTCAAATTACAGTACAAAGTAAAAATTGCATGAAAATTATGACGTAAAAAATTACATGAAAAACAAACAAAAAATCATAAGGAAAATTATAAAGTAAAGTAAAGAAAGACAAGAAAACTAACTCGACAGCAATGAGACTCGAACTACCCCTGCAATGGACTATTGAACCATAGAACCGGACGCTGCGAATGTCAATCCATCTATAGTACTTTTCGTCTTAGGTTGAAGGCGAAGATTTCTTATGCATTTCACGGTAATTTTGCGCTTATCCTAACTACAACTGGTTTGCAGGGGGTGTAGACAGTGCGATCAAACCTTCTTAAATTGTATTATGAAAAATAACTTTTCTGACATCAGCGGAAAACTCTGTGTGTCAATGGGCGTAGGTACACCCCAATGAGTGTCACTCGGTGGCGTAATAATTTCAACCTAGGCCTATTGCATTTCCTCGTGTGGATACATAACCGGACCCCTTTTCTCGTTGCGGATTGAAATTACCTCGCTCAGTGCACCGATAATTCCTTGGAAATTCTTTATAACTTTATTGTTGCTATATTATTGTTATCATTATGAACTTTTATGCATTTTTAAAGTATGAGAGTGCAATTTCCTCGCACCTGGAGGTCCGGATATTCTAAAACTTTTCTCACTTCAGCCCCAATCATGGTCGGGCTGAGGTGGTGTGGACTCTCACGCACATGGACGCACCCCCTACCGCCAAACAATGCATCCGCCCAGCCTTTGTAGAGACACTTCTTAGAGGAGCTTCGAAATTGTATTATGGAGCGAAACATTCGACATTAGTGCATTCTGGCGGTCATGAATGTGTGGATAGTAAGTAGTACTCGGAAGGTCGCTGGTGCGATCTCACAGTAGACCACTTCACTTCAATTACCGCTATTATTTATTAATTATTGATAATCATAATTAAGTATAGATGGGCATTTATCTCTGTGACTAATTGGTTGGCCATTAGGTTGATAAAACTTAAATTGATATCCATCAGTGTTGTGAAAGCGAAACCAAAATTTCAAAATCAATGGCACTTGTTGCAGACTAATTGTTTTTGATGACTCGTGTCTTACATATATGCATTATTTTAGGATGGAGTATACAATTTCTTGTGCCGCGATCACATTTCACGTAGCAATCATATTGTGTGTGTAACTAGCGTGTAATGGACACGTTATGCATCAACTGCAGATACCTTATATAAATGTGTGATAAAACTTCCACGTTCTTCTGAATAGACAAACTAAACACAGAATATATCAAATGGACCTGATTCATATCTAAATTATTATATTCAAAGTGATAATGGTTTTTTTTAGCCACGCAAATAATGACGTTGACATCACAAAAGCCTAAAGTATATAAAATACAGCCATTTTAAAATAATCCATTAAGTAGACTTAGACATTAGTTATTGGAATGCTAGTGCCTCCTGCTTCTGTGGCTACATACGAATAATAATAATAGGAAAATCTATATTCACTCTCTCAACCTAACATCTGCAATCCTGACCTGTAATGTAGTGTAGGCCTGATAAATACATATAGAAATTCTACAACGTATGATTTTGCTATCAACTGGTTGAGGCCCCTCATATTTGAAGATTTGTACCATGCATATATAAGGCACTTTGTCGTTGATGGGCCATGCCTGGTACGTTTATAACATCATTTGTTTCTAAAATTGAGCACTGTTTCTATCATTTACTAGTGTTTGTTTATATTTATATCTTCAGTGCTATGCAGCATACTATTTTAATATATACTATATACACTATGCTATACTATATATGACAGGAGAGGATGTAGACTTTTAGAACACAATTTATTT